GAGGGGAGATCTGGAGGAGGAAGGGCTCTGGTGGGCTCCGTGGTGAGCTCCCCTGCCCCCTTCTCCTGGTGCAGGGATGCACCATCCCTGGGCCTGTGCCCCTGGCGCTCAGCATCACCTGCTCCCCGTCAGGCCCTCGGGGCCCGTATTTCCTCCCTCCAAGAAGCTCACGCAAGGCTCCACGTGTAACGCCGGTGGAAGCAGAAAACAGCCCGCGGCCCTGTGCGGTTTCTGGTGGGAGCCCGTTACGGTCCCAACACCTGTTTGTGTGTTTTTTCCTTTTCATGGAGCATTTCACCCCTGTGCATTGTAACTTCGTCCCGGTCCCGTGCGAGTTCCCGGCACCCGCGTGCCGAGAAGCAGGGCGGAGGGGCCGGGCTGCACGTGGCTTCGCTAACCGGCCCGGGTGGAGCAAGCCGTGCTCTTTCGTGCCGCTTTGCCCCTCGGCCACATGACCCCCCTCGCAGTCACCTCCATCCCCCTCCTCACCCCCGTCCCTGCCCCAATGCTTTGGCTCTAAGCCCGAAAGCCATTGGGGGCGAGCGCATTCGCTTCCTCGTGACCTTCCAGTGCCATCTCACGGCGGCTGCTGGGTCTCTGGATGCTCACTTGGGTTCTCTCTTTCTCTCCCTTTTCCTTAGGGCCTCGATGACTACGGGACAAGATCTGGTAGCAGGTAAGAGTCGCTCTTTCGTACTGTACTATGTAAAGCGAATGCTGGTGTTCGTAGTTCTGGAAAGCATAAGCGATGCTGCAGTATCCCTCGGTAGGAAGCGTTCCCAGGTGGCCAGCCACAACCAGCGGGCACGCCGCATCAGGGCCTGGCAGGGGGGTTGCAGCAGGTCGGGTCATTCAGGCATGTCTCTATCCGGCCGTGTCGCCTGCAAGCGCCTTTTTTGAGCACAGCGAAGACATCGTCCTCCAGCTTCCCTAGGCCTGGTGTGCAGGGGCAGCCCTCGCCTTATCCGGGGTTATAGGCAGGCTCACCCCCACTCTGGGGGGGCAAAGTCCCTCTGCATAAGCTAGAAGGGTATAAGCTAATATCTGCCCACCCGGCATCTCACGTTGACAAGGCTTAGGGCTGGAAACAGCCCAGCCTTTCCGCGTTGTCCCCATATCTTCTCCGGGCACTTACCTAACTGTGCTAGGGACCGCGAGGCCCGGAGCAGAGGCATTTGCCCAGGCGACCAGACCGGCTGACAGAGCTGGTCACGTCGAGTCTTGCAGGGATTTTCAAGCCAAATTCGAAGTCTCGAGAAACCCTCCCCCCTTTGCCGAGAGCCGAGTTGCGGGTGAAAGCAGGCCAGGACGGGGCAGCGCCCGGCATCCTCCTCCCAGCAGCATCCTCCTGACCGCTGGCCCGGAGCAGATGGGCCCGCGGGGCAGGGAGAGCGCAGGGGCCGGAGCCGAGCGGCAGCAAAGGGAGACTGCATGGCGGTGAGCGCGCGTTGCTGTCCGCCGTGGCGTGCGGTCTGGCAGTGTCCCTCTGCTTTCTATTCCGCAGCGGCAGTGGCAGCTTGGTATCAACTGTGTGAGGACACCCTGACTAGCAATGGCAGCTGCTGCTTTGAAGAGCTTTCTGCTTTCTTTCCCCCGCCCCTTCCCCCTTTTTTTGGTTTTTTTTTTGTTTTTGTCTTTCTCCGTGTCTCCTTTGACCCTCCTCCTTTGGGATTGATCACTTGTGACCATCAAGGAAACCATGGTGCTGCTACCTGCCCCCTTCCCTGACGTTTCCGCTGCCCCCTTTTTGGCGAAGCCTTTCAGAGCAGAACCTGCCCGCCGGGCCAGGCCCACGCCGCGGGTTCCCTCCCCTAGTCAGCCGCGGCAGGTTGTGAGATGCGCTGTCCCTTGTCCGAGGCTTCCCGCGAGCCGCCTTTTACTAGCCACACGGAAGAACCCGTTCCCGCGTGGAACCAATATGCATGGCCTATGGTATCCGTACTGTTACTTGCACTCTCGTCGTGACTCTGCTAAGATGCCAGTTGCTGCAGGGAAGGCAGGTGTAGACGCTAGCGGGGCCCGGTCCTGCGCTCTACGGGGCGTCCACTTGCATTCAGCTGCGCTCAGCAAAGTTGCTTCAAGCAACGTGGGCAGCGCGGGGGCTTCTGCCTCGCAGACGAGCGGGGGGTTTCCAAGGGAGGGTGGGCCTGTGCCCTGCTCCCCGCAGCCAGAGCCCACGGCCCACCCCAGGGCGGGACGATTCGCTCTGTCTTTGGTTGTTTTATAACTATACATATATGTATATATATATATATTTTTTGTAGCAAGGTATTGTTACCTCATGGTCGTGTCTCTGGGGGAATAAATCGTGGTATTATGCAGGTTGCCAGAGCAAATCCAAAGACACTTTTGCATTTTAAAATTGGACTTTTATGGGGAGGAAGAAGGAGGAGGAGGAGGAAAACAAGCCAACAACAACTGGTTTTGGGGGTGGGGGACAGGGGAGGGGGCGGGAGAGAAAGGAAAAAAGTCCAGTGTTTCAACTTCCTAAATCCTGTCAATCTTCTTTGTGTGTCTTGATAACTTTAGAGACAAACACGGTAGGATTGGATTTAATGGCTACTGGTATTGCTTCTTCAATCTCTGAGTTCGGGGAAGTCAGTAAAAAGTGGCTCACACCCAGAGTACAGACTTAACCCTTTCAGTGCCGGTGAAAGTCTTCATTGCAAAGATGTATACACACTTCCTTTTTTTTCTCTCTCTCTGATGTGATTTTAAATCCTCTGACATGCCTGTTTACTAGGACATTGCTGGCAATATACATATATATATATACACGCACACACACATACACATACACACGCATACATACAAACCCACACCCCTAGAAAAGTTTCTCTCTCTTTTTTTCTTGTTTTATATAATAGTCGACGGGCACATGTCAGTAGAGCCTCTTGCGTTTGATGTTCATTTTGCTAAAGATTTTTAATCCAGGGGTACTCCGTGCGGAATGAATGAATGTAGAAAACAAACTAGCAGAACTTGTATGAAGATTGTAAAATGCTGAGAGAACCTTTTTTTTAAGAAAAAAAAACAAAGCGGAAGAGAAATGTGCCCTGTACTGAGTTTATTGTTTGAATAAAAGTTTTATTTATTGCATTGAGTCGGGCCTCGGTGGTTTTTTTGGGGGCTTTGATGCCTGTGACCCTAACCACTCACCAGCCTGCAGTGCCCAGATTTTTTTTCCCCCGCGACGCCCCGCACCGCGGAGGGTCAGGACATGCCTGCTCCTTGCCACATTTCTCTCTGCTCCGCTAGCAGGTCTGCACCATGTGCCTTTAAACCTGACGGGCTGTGCATGGGAACGGCTGCAGCAGCATTTAAACACGTTGTCTCTGCACGAAGCCAAGGCCCGGGCTTGTTTTGAGAAAGAAGCGGGTGCAGTTGGGAGTCTTGCTTACTTCCAAGCCAGGAGACACCTAGACCTCATTGCTTTCCAACAGGGTTTTGTTTGGGAGATCATGCAGCCCTGGGCCTCCCTCGGGGGCTGCGAGGGGCTACGGTAACAACCGACGTGCGAGGCTTTCCCTTCACCCTGTTCCCATGCCAAGGCCAAGGCTGGTCCTTTTTTGATAGCAATCCTTTGGCATAGCACAGGGGATGGATGCCACAGGACATCTTCCTCGCGGCTGACGTACGGGGGACTATAACCCGGGCTTGCCCTTCGTTACAGGCTTCGAACGGCAGCGAAGAGCTATCGCGTATGCGCTGTGCGAGTGCTCGGTATTAACCAACACAACTTTTCCTTTTTATTTTCATCCTCAAGAGGCACGTAACGCGGCCGACGGAGTCTCCTGGGAGCGCGACCAGCGCTTAGCCTAGCTTCTCTCCCCTTCACCCCTGTTTTGTTCCCTCGAAAGCCGCGGCAGGCGTCTCAAGCGCGTGTCATGCGAACTACGTTCTGTTTCCCTTGCAGCCCTGATGTGGAAGTGGCCAGGTTTTGAGAGGCCCCCCTGACTAGTTAGTAAGTTCACGGTTTTCACGTGCCAACCCCCTGCACTTGCGGCGTGCTCTGGACTGACCGCTCAGGAGCTGGCGGCTTGGGCACCCGGCTAGTACGGGCAGGAGAGGGGGGAGAGGGGTCCCGGCTCTGTCGCTGGTGGCCGGCAGGGACTGCTAATGCCGGCCGGTTTCCGGGGGCCTCCTAGCCAGCCCATGACGCTCCGTCCAGAGCACAGCTCCTCACTCAATCACTTGCTTGCACCTGAATCCATCGGTGGAAGCTTCTTCGCCTTCCTTGGGCTCCTGAAAGGGACTTGTCTTCCTCCGCTGTCATTGAGCCTCAGCCTCAATGCACCTGTCTCTAACCACTCCTGTCCCTGTGCACGGCTCGTAGCATAATGCCTGCCCCGTCCCCACCTCCTCTCCCTGCTGGGCGGAGCACTCGGGTTTCATGCTTCCATAGCTGGGCACTGAGCATTTTTCGTTCCCTTTTCCTGCCTTTTTTTATCTAATTCTCCCCTTCGATCCACACACCCCTCTCGGGGCCGCCCGTGTTTGATGCTCTTGCCTAACGGCATGGATGCTCTGCATCAAACACGCTGCTGGCCGCTGCATCGCTGTGGGCACAGTCTCCTCCCGGCGCTCTGCGGCGTATGGGCAACACGTACGTATGTCTGTTTTCCTGGGGGTTGCACTCAGGTCAGCGCCCGGTGCCCTGCCCCTACGCTGGTCAAGCGTCAGGCACTTGGTGCCATGGGGGCCCGGGGGCCTCTGCTTGGGAGGGGCAAGGTGGGGCTCCAAAATGCAAGGACCCTTTGCAGTGTGCACGGGCCTCGGCTACTGCCAAAGCCCCGTCCCCCTGATCGTGGAGCCTCAGGGTGGTCCGAGCTATGGGCTCATTCTCCTTCGCCTGCCCTGAACCCAGAGAGTTAAGTAACACCCCCCCACCTGAGTCAACGGCAGCCTTTCCATTCCTTCCCAGCTCCAGAAGCTATTTTGGCACCCTAGGAAAAAGTGAGCTGCAAATCTGCATTCATTAGGTGGGATATTAATTGCTCAGGCTTAAAAATAGGGTAATTCATCGTCCTGCTGCAAACCGAGTCACGCTTTTAAATGAGAGCTGGAGCCGTGGCAAGGAGATGGGCTTGGAAGGGAAGCGGGGTGCAATAGTCCCAAGAAGCTGGGGTGCTGCTGGCTGAAGTGGGGGCTCCGCGCGTTGCCGTGGGATGGGTGGGGGCTGCTGAGAACCGGTTTGAGGGAAGCGGGGGTAGATTGCTGCTGATGGGGATGGTCCAGGTACTCCTCATGCTTGGTCGCCCTGCCCACAGGGCAGGTCTGGGGTGCCTCACTGTGGGTGACCGTGTTGCTAGCCCTGGCACGAGCCCTGGCAGGTTCAAGGGTGGGGGAAGTGGGGCAAGAGCAGAGAAGCAGCCTAGCACAAGGGCCCTGCCTCTTGCTTGGAGTGAGCAAGACCCGGACGGACTCCTGCAAGCCACCGTCGCCTCTCTGCAGCCAGGTGTGCGGAGCGGCAGGGGCCGGCCAGCGAGAGCGGGAGCAGCTCGATATCCAGGTACCGGGGAAGCCAGGAGGAGCCACGGGCTTTGCCCTGAAGCCAGGTCCCTCTGCCCGCAGCAGCCACAGGGCACGGGGCTCTCGGGCTACGAACCCAAATGCGCTCAGGTTTAACAGCTCATTTCTGCTTCTCTCTTCTTCGCTCGCTTTCAGGACCCAGCCCGAAACCCCGTCCCCACCCCACAGAGAGGGGCCAGCACGGAGGCCTGTTCCCTACCCATGGAGGGAAGGGAGACAACTTACCATCCTGGAGCTGGGAACAGGCTGGCTCTGGGAGAATGGCCTCTGGGGCTCCCAAATTTGCTGGCAGCCCTGTGGGCATGTGGGGCACCCTGGCAGCTGCCGAGAGCACCCGCGTGCTGCAGGGGTCTTGCTCCCCGTCCCCAGAGCTGTGCACTGGGTTGGCCTCCCCCCACCAGCACCCTCCTTACTGGGGGTCTGGTATCACGACCCCCTCCCGAGCCCCCGCATGCCCTGCACGCACCCTCCAGTGCCGAACTCAGCTGACGAGGATGCAGTCGCGGGGACCCCCCGACCCCTGCCTTCAGCTGGGGCAGGGCAGTGGGGAGACGGGGGGCAGCTTCCCCTTGGCAAGGTGGCCGGAGGGGGCAAGCGGCTGCTTTTCTTTCCACTCCACGGTGGGTGATCGTCAGGGTCCGGGCGCGATGGGTCGGGCCCTCGGGGACCAGTGTCCCGCGAGTCCTTGTCCTCCGGCAAAAGCCATGTGTGAAGCCTCTGGTGGAGCCAATATGTGTGTGTCTGTGTGTGCAATTGCACTTCTGTTATATGTGGGGTGCAGTGGGGGAGCCGGGCATGCCCATGCAAATACGGGCTGGCCCCAGACCGGCACCTTGGGACCAGTCCGTGTTTTGCTTTATTAACCTCCCACGCTGCGCGGAGGGGCCCTTTGCTGGCTGGTTGTTGCCTGTCCCGGCAGGGATGACTCTGAGCCTGGGGTCCTCTCTCTTTTGAGTCCCCCTCCCTTCTCCGGGAGGATCCTGACTCTCCCGGCTGCCTCTAACCCCGGCGCTCTGCCGTGGCCGTCCCCAGCCCTGTTCAGAGGTGCAGCTTCTCCGGACCCCGCAGCCCCCGGGCACCACGGGCTGCTGCTTGTGCGGGGAAGGGGCCCTCGGTGTGAAGGCCTCGTGCAAAGGAGGTTAATAACTCCCAGTGTCCGCCCAGGCATGTGTGTAGAGTCCGTGCCCCCGTGGCGTGTCCGTGCGGTGTCTAGCGTGTCTGTACCGAGCTCCGCTGCGTTCCCGTGGGCGCACAAGGGCTGGATCCCACCCACGGCTGGGGATGTGCTCTTGTGTCTGGTCCAGCTAAACTCTTCCCAGCTCCTCTCCTTGCTCGCTCTGGCTCTGCCCTGCTGCCTTCCCGGCAGTGCCCCCGTGCCGGGCAGCCGTGGGGCTGTCTGGGTGCTGGTCTCCCCGGGGACCGTGCCTGCGTGGTGTGGTGGGCTGGCTCCTAAAGCCCCTCTGCCTTCCCTCCATGCTGTCTCCTGAGCAGCACACGCCAGCACTCGTGGGAGCACTTGTGCATGCGCCGTGCGTGTTGTCTGCTCCCTCCGCTTCCCTGTGGAAGGGGCTGAAGCTCCGACCTCCCGGACTGGCCGGGTAGAAAAGTGCCAGGGGGAAAATCCACAGGGCCCATGACCAGTCGTGTGGACTCATCGCTCCTCTGGGTCTCTAAAGTCTAGGGAGAAGCTAGAAAGGCTCGACATCCCCTTCAGCGGGGCTTGCTGCTGTCTTAGGAGGCAAGGAGGGGCTTGCCGGGCCATTTTTAGCATGTGGATTCAAGTCAGCGCATCCCGCCTGGCCCGGGTGCATCTCCAGAGCCAGCACCGGAGCCGCGTGTCCCCGGCAGGAGCGTGTGGTGTCTCGTTGGGTGTCTCTTGCCGTCTCACCCCCCAGTCCTTGTCGGCTGTGTTGCTCGCCCCTTCGCCATCCCTGCTCAGGCTCCTTGCCGCCCCGACTAACCCCCGCCTCTCTCTCTCTCTCTGCAGAAACCCTTTTGCCAACGTCCAGCTGAAACCCACGGTGACAAACGACAGGTCGGCTCCCCTCCTCAGCTGAGTCCTGGCATCAGGAGACAGCCAGCGCCTCCCCCAGCCGTGCCGGACATGGGCTGTATCCTCGCCGCTGCTTGCATGTCCGTCTGTCCAGACCTGCCGTCTCCGGCCCTTTGGTTTCTGGTTCTTCTAACCTGCTGCTTGAAAGCAGAAAGCGAAAGCCTTAGCCCCCGACTCTCTCTCTCTCCCCTTTAGATCCAGTGCAGTCTCACCTCCACGACGAGGGGGTATCTCGGGTCTGTCCTTTGCATGTCAGGACGTGCCACAGCAGTGCAGGTCCTCAGCAAGCTGCTGCATGCTACAGCTCCATGCCTGTCCCCAAGCTGGAAAGCTAAAGGCCAGAAAGAGTGGCCTTGGCCCAGGCACAGGCCTCGGGAGAGGAGCCACGCTCGGTGTAATAGTGAGACCTCCGTGCAGCCACGAGTGTGCGCCTAGACTCTCCTGAGTGGGGATTGCTACCGTGGCTTCTCTGCCGCCCTCCTACCATCTCGGCAAAGGCTGGGTCTTTGCTCCTAGCGGAGGGACACGCGCTGCATTTAGCTTGTTCAGGTGCCTTTAGAGCTGCTTTGGGACGGCTGCAGCCCCCAGCCCTACATGAGCCCCCCACGTCAGGGGGGAAACACAAGGGGAGCAGGACGACGGGGGCGAGGAGAGGCAGGAGGAGCCTGCCGCAGCCCCCGGCTGAATGGAGCTAGTGTCAATGACTGAAGGGAGATGCTAGCTCCGGCTGCCCGTCCTGCCCCGGCCTCTGGGACGTGAGCATTTTAATCGCCCGTCCTGGTAGCTACAACCTGGCACGTGGGTAAGATCGGCCGTGCAGTGCCCCAGCAGACCGCCCCAGAGGGTGGGTTTGGGGGGCGGGGAGTGACGGGAGCAGAGACTGCAGCACTGGTGTTAGTGCAGAGCCCCCGGCCTCTTCCCCACCCGTGCACCGCTGAGACGGGGAGCTGGAGATTGCTGCCGGCTGCATTTATTATTGAGGTCCCTGCTACTCCTACCCGTCCTGGCTTTGGCATTGCTGGCCACAGGCTTCTCCCAGCTCAGCGGGGGTGTGGGTGCAGGTCCCAGCACCTCAAGTCACTCCCCCAAGGGAGAGAACAGGGAAAAGCAAGTGCCTGGCATTTCTGCCCTGCTTTTGGAGCACGGGGGTCCCTGTCGGGGACCTGCCGCCTGCCCCGTGGTGGGGCAGCACCCTCGCAAGACGCTGCCTTTGCCATGGTGCTTGTTAGCACTTGTGCATTGCTTTGAGCCTAGAGGATGCCCTGCTCCATGTCTGGGTCTCTTCTGGGCAGTAGTTTTAGTCTGCAACAGAGCAGCAAAGGGCCGCGAATGCCACGGTCATGCTCTGTTTTATATAAAGGAAAGTCTCTGTTACACGGATCACTGATGCTGGCTATCTCAGCCCCTCGCTGGCCTGGAGAAGGGCTTGTTTCTGCAGATGCCAGACCTGCACATCTCGGCCCTGGGCCCGGCCTGGGTGCAGGGACGCGCAGCTGGCTGTCGGACAGTGTTATCCCTGCCTCCTGCCACCCCTCCATGCTGCCACCCCCATCAAGGCACTTGCCTTGTGCTGCACTGGCCCCTTTCCCCATGCCACCTGACACAGAGCCCCAAATCTGCATTGTCCTAGTGCATTAGTTGGGCTGCACCTGGGGCTCCTGGCTGCCTTCATTGGGCCCCAGAGGCACCAAAAACCCTTATGCAAAAAGCTGGGCTGGAGGAACATCCCAGGGACGCAAAGCCCAGCACCGTTCCCCTCACTGCATGCCCCCATCTCCCACCTCCGTGCCTTTGCCCAGTGCTTGGTGCTGCCACGCACAGCACAGAGGGAGCACAGCTGGGGCTTGCAGCTGTCGGGGAGCAGCGAGGGGGCTGCTCACGGCTCCGCCCCCCCCACCCAAGGGAGTGAGGAGCCTGGTGAGGTCCCAGGGGACTCTGGACTCCTAGCCCAAGGCTATGGGTGCTTGCATGGGGGCTGCTTCAATGCTACATCCCTGCGCTGCCCCATCTCGCGCCCTGCTTGAGCCCAGGGCAGCCTGCTAGGGAGGGGGCTGCTTAGCAAGCCCTCCGCGCCCAGCCCAGCTGCTCTGCGGCCTCACACTGCTGCCCTGTGCTTTGGAGCCCGAGAGTGGACGCCATGCACAGCCTGAGACAATGATGCTGATAATGTTGTGCTGGAAATGTAATTTATGAGCAATAAAAGTAACACGCCACCGCCACCTCATGCCCTGCATCTTCTTTCCCAGGCGCCACTCCCGCAGCCTGCCCCTGCTCCAGGGGTGGCAGCAAGGGCCTCGGCACGGCCATGGAGATGGGCACCACGCAGGGGGCGATTGCAATGCCATCTCCTTAGCACTGGGCTCTGAACACACGCAACATGGGCACCCTCCCTGCTCCTCGCAGGAGCAATAGACTCTTCTCTTCCCAGCCCCAGGGATGCCTGCGCTCCTGCGCCAGCCCGCGTCCTTGCAACCCGGCTCCCCTGCCAGCCCCCTGGCACACATCGCCGGCGGGGAGTGAGGGCACCGCTGCAGCCCCGGGCCCCAGGGCAGGCCGAGACGCGTTACGATATTTTAAAAAGTTTATTATTGGACCAATGAGAGTTGACACACATGCTGGGAGCTGCATGGACATCAGCACTGATAAAAAATACAGCAAGTATGACCCGTATTGATAAAATAGACAATGTCGTAGCCTTTCTATCTTTAAAAAAAATAATCCCAGACGTAGCTCTGCCCACGTGCTGCCCCTCCAGAGGCATAGACCAAACCCTGGGGTGCTGTCCACCTAGCCCAACAAGATGATACAAGGGCAAGGACCTCTCCTGCTGACCCAGGGCCGGCCCGCTCCATGCCTAAGCCCCCTGTGCCTGCCCTGGGACGGGGCTGTGGCCTGGAAGTTGTCCCTGCCAGGCAGCAACTCCCCACCCCCAGTGCCCCAGCACCAGTGCGTTGCTTATAATGGGCTTGGATGAGCGTGGATCTGGGGCGGCGGGGGGGTAATAGGAGGGGGGGGCTCTGGGTGCAGCGGGCATGGTGCGGTTCCTGGCGTGATGGCATTTCCAACGCTCTGCTTGGCAGGATCGCAGCCACCGGCAGGCAGCTGCAGACCCAGCAGGTCCTCCGCACTGAGGACAGCTCTAGCCAGCCTCCTCCTTGCCTGCGCTCGGTGTTGCACAGACCGTGAGCAACCCGACACGCCCCGGCCCCCAAAAACCCTGCCCAGCACCGCCAGCTGGGCAGGCCCCCGGTGCCCCATGGGGGAGGCGGGCTGGGCGCA